GAGGTCCGACCTAATCTTCAATCGCCGAGGTTCGATTTATTGCCGAAATCGACATCGTCGTGCCCGGCCGAACTCGTCGTTCCTAATTCCCATCTTTTTGCAGCAGATCAAGATTTGACATTCAATCGACTTCTCCACCTGTGAGTCCATCGAAGTTTTATCGCTGAATCTGTGAAAAAAAACGATAAGAAGAAGTGTGTACCGAGCAGACAAAATACACGACCGGTTTCTGTTTTTTATTTTATCTTATTGGGCCTCATTCTAAATCGGCCCAACAACATACAAAAAAGAGAGAGAGAAGAAGAAACTAGAAGTGTTCATATTATAGCGGTGCCGAGTTCATTTATTTGAATCAACGACAACCGAAGAGACCATCCACTCCAGGCTAATTTATTATTTCATCACTGACCTCACCTACCTCTGTCGGGGCCGAGTATATTTATTAACGCCGGAGCCGAATGCACTTACCTACGTTGGGGCCGATTTTATCTATCGATCTTGGGGAGGAATTCATTCATCTATGCCAAAGCCGAAGTCATTTGTCAATGCCAAGAGCTGACCTGACTTATTTATTCTGTCGAGGCTAATTATTTTGCTCGCCGTGAGCCTTGACTCCGGCTGAGACGATGTCGCCATATTTTGCTCGCCGTTGAGCCTCGAAACCGGCTGAGCCGACGTCTATATTTTTCTCGCCGTTGAGCCTCGACTCCAGTTGAGACGACGTCGTCATAATTTGCTCGCCGTTGAGCCTCGACTCCGACTGAGCCAACATCCATATTTTGCTCGCCGTTGAGCCTCAACTCCGACTGCGACGATATAGCCATATTTTTCTCGCCGTTGAGCCTCGACTCCGGCTGAGCGGACATCCATATTTTGCTCGTCGTTGAGCCTTGACTCCGGCTGAGCCGATGTCCATATTTTGCTTGCCGTTGATCCTCGACTCCGGCTGAGCCGACGTCCATATTTTCTCGCTGTTGAGCCTCGACTACGGCTGAGCTACGTTCCTGTTTTCTCGCCGTTGAGCTCGACTCCGGCTGAGCTGACATCTATATTTTCTCGCCGTAGAGCTTCGACTCCGGCTGAGCTGACGTCCTTATTTTCTCGCCGTTGAGCCTCGACTTCGGCTGAGCTGACGTCCACATTTGCTCGTCGTTCAGCCTCGACTCCGGCTGAGACGACGTCCCTATTTTCTCGCCGTTGAGCCTCGACTTCGGCTTAGCGAAAGTCTATATTTTCCTCCGTCGAGCCTTTGCTCCGGATTGTCCTACCGTCGAGCCTCTGTTCCAGCAGCAAAAAAGAATCATCACAAAAAATCCGAGCAACAGCTCGGTACCGATGAACATTATGACACTCGGTTTTGCTGATGCCTTGTAATACCTCCAAATCCCACATTTGATTTGGTCGGGCTAAAGCTCGTCTGCGTCAATTCAGCTAAAATGATTTGACGGGCCTCATTGACAGCCGAGCACACTTGGCTCGGTTGAGGCCGTTCCGTAATCGAACCGTGACGAAGTTCGGTGACCTCTTTTTTCAACTCGGACACAGCTTGAACAGTGTCGAGTGTTGCAAGTTCAAAACAACTTGCTTGTCGGTTCTTCATAATACCGATTTTCCAAAATATGACATCAGACTCAGAAAAGAAACTCAGACTCGACAAAATATCGAGGTATCCTTATTTATTGTACCTTAATCATTTATTGCACATGCGCATTATGCATATGCATACTCAGTAATGCATTCATACATCCATCGCATACGCGCGTCACACATACATTCATCACATATGCGCATCAGACATACATCTCGACGGTCAAATTAAAAGAATACAATAAACCAAACGCCTTCATATATTTGGGCCTGCGCTGGTTAGGCAAAGTCAATAAGACCTTCCCGGCTGGGAAATATGCGCAAGAAAAAATCATTACACCGTGTTCTTCAGCTCGGTATGATGAAGCCTTTACTACACCGAGTTATTCAACTTGGTAAGGCTGATACCCGTTCTTTTACCGAACTCTTCAGTTCGGTAGACTAAAGCCTTTATTTTCACCAAGTTCTTTAGCTTGGTAAAGCTAGAAAGTCCTTTCCTAACCGAGTTCTTCAACTATGTGGGCAAATATATCATATCGATAACATCTTTGCATAAAGATTGATAGCAAAAAAAGGGGCCCGAGTGCCCGTACCAGTTCA